AAAAAACAGAAACAAAGGCCTCCCTGTCAGCACATTCAGAACTCTTTTCATAGCAACCTTCCCTCCACGGTCACACATGCAAAATTCTTTATCTAGCAACCATCCCTCTTTGTCCACACACTAACTAATTTTCAGTCTGGTAGTGTTTTTTTCCCAGCACACACTATTCCCCGTGAAAGCACCTGTGACTTTGAAAGCCGGATGTTAACATTATAGTGAGGTTTTCCAATAATTCTTACCATCCCTTACCACTGAGCATCCTAAGTGAAAGACATCAAATAAAGACTAGGGATGTTGGTGAGCTTGTAATTGAATAGCTGTGTAATAGTGTGAAATTTTAGTGGCTACATGACTATTTGATAGTCCCTGGGGGCAGGGCCAGCAGCAGTGCACTCCCGATCCCACTCCCAGGAAGCCCCCTACCTCTCTGTGCTGCTGCCTCTCTATCAGAGGCAGCAGTGTAGGATGACAGGCAGGCGCCAGTCCATGAGGGGAGCCAGTTTAAAAAAACAGCTCTCCTCACGGACTGGCTGCCTGTGCAGGTGGCAGCACCCTCTGTCCACTGGGGGTCCAAACTCCCCACAGACAGAGGCTGATGCAGGGGATGGAGTGAGGGTGAAAGAAGAGCAAGCTGCCGCAAAGGAGCCTCTTTCTCTCTGTGGCCAGCCTGGGCCTCTGCAGAGGCTGGTCTGACAGCGTGCCCCTGTCTGTGGGCCCTGGCACACCAGACAGAGGCTGCTCCGTGGTGCAGCCTATGACCTCAGGGAGCTCAGACATTCCACAGACAGGGGCTGCTGCCTTGGGATAGAGGCAGCAGTGAGGGGGAAGAGGCAGGTGGCATCAGGGAACCAATGCTGGGAGGAACTGGCTCTTAAGCTCCTGCTCCCCTTGCTGCTTCTGAACATGGGGAAAATGTGAGTAGTCGAGAAGATTAACTGATAAGCCAAGTTATACTCAACTACTTGTTTACATTCCCTAATAAAGACAAATGCAATGCAGGTTTCCATGAGTTAATTTTGTGTGAACCAAACCACACCTATAACTCTGGCCACTGTGGAAGCCAGAAATATCCCTTGGGTTTCATGGCAATGCCTTGCTCAGGATGAGCTGTGGGATGAGGCAGGGAAGCAACCCCAACATACAGAAATGTCAGCTCCCCTCACTGTCAAAGTGGTTCCTCAGAGCCAGGAGCCAGTCACCAGCCCCACACAGGGCCAGCAGGGCCCCACTGCTGCCCACTCCCTCCCGGGGTGGAGCAGCCCTCCTAGGGTGTGTCTAGACTACAGGTTTTTTCCCAAAAAAGTGGCCTTTTTTCGAAAAAAAACTTCCCTGTGTCTATACTGCTGCCGCGTTCTTTTGAAAGTAAATCGAAAGAACACTGAAGTTTTTTGACCGCGGAAAACCTCGTTTTACGAAGAATGCCTTTTTTCAAAAGTGCTCTTTCGAAAAAAGGCGCTATGTAATGCAAACTGCTTTTTTGAAAGTACTGGTTGTAGTCTAGACGTTCTTTTTCAAAAGAGGCTTGCAGTCTAGATGTAGCCCTACCGATTCTCACCCTGTTTCATCAGTTAACCCGTTATACCAGGGCTACTCAACTTTGGAAGCTCTGGGAGCCACAATGATACTCACAGCACATGCGGAGGGCTGCAACTTAAATGTAGTTGCATATACATATGCAAATACCTTCTTTCACACTGACAGGCATGAATACAAAGATTAAGGCAAGACTACACAATATGCAGGCCCCATTTAAGTCAGTTCTGCTGATATTAATAAAATGCAATATGTATCCGATTTCCACCCATACGAAAGCACTTTTAATGAGCCATGACAGTCCAGGAATTTAACTACTAGAATGCATATCAACAGAAGACCATTATATTGACTACTTCTTTGTTTTGGCTCCCACCTGCAGGCTGCCCCCAGGTATACCGAAACTGCACTGCGAACCGCAAACAAACGGGCCCCGGGCCGCAGGTAGCCCATGGAACATGCGTTAAGTAGCCCTGCGTTAAATACTACGTTTAGCCAGTTAATCGATTAGATGGGATTCTACATCCCTACTAGCAATGTGGCTATGAAATGTCAACAATGGGTGGCAGAAAAGCAAGTTTGATGAGTTTTCAGTTTTGGCGACTTTAGGATGTTGATGGCATTTTAATAGCCAAACCTTTCCAATACAGACATAGCCTAAGACAAGAGTACTCAATATGTGGCCTGTGGACCGCATAGGGCACATTTATATGCGGCTCGGGGCTGAACATGCAGCCTATGGGTGGGAGCTAAAACCAAAAAGTAGTCAATATAATGTACAATCCTGGTTTTATTTCCTAAAGACACTATTTACAGTACCAAAATTGAATGAAAGTGGCAATGACAGTAAATCCAGGAAGCACAAGGATGGCTTGTAAGCTACCCGATACAACCTTGATCATATTAGGTATTATGTTGAAGGGTTTACTTATATTTAATTTTGCCTAACTTGTTGCAGCATTTTGTAATTTCTTTTTTAAAAAGATACCATGAAACCAGATGAAAACATTCTCAAACACCAAACCAGTGAACTGCTGCCAGGAATAATGCAGAAGTTGCTGCCAAGATTAAAACAGTAAGCATAATGTTAACATTGCTATTAGAACTTGTTAAAGTCCTATTGTTGCTCAAATATATAAAAGGTTTTTTTTTGTTTTTTGTTTTTTTTTTAAGGAATCCAAGTCTTCCTTGCATTGGGATACAGACACACATCTGAGCCAGCTATCTAAACATAAGGACATAGTTAGGGACAACTGTTCATTTTAATATCCCATTTCTAAAGAACAGAAAACTGTCTTAAGGCTTTGTAACTAGGTTTCTAACATAGCCCTTCCTTTAAGCTTCTACTGAATAAACATGCATGTTGTGGTATTGGCTTTAACTGTTTGGTAGTTAGTGTAAGGTCTTGTCTACACTGTAGTGTTTAAGCTATACAGAAATAATTGCTCTGTTATAAATCCCTACATTTGTACAGTGTATCAACAGTAAGCCATGGCAAGCTTGTGCATTGCATCTAAACTAGGGATTGTCACTGGTGCAACTACATCTGTACAGCTACACAGTTCACGACTAGGAATGTTGTTAATGGTTAACCATTGAAACGGTTACCTGGTACCAAGGATCAGCCTGGAAGGCTGCTCCAGTCCCACAATCCCCCTGTGCAGGACTGCCAGCTTCTAGCTCACACGGGCTGGAGGCCCGCAGGAGCAGCCATGGCAGTCCTCCCCCATGGAAGTGGTCCTCTAGCTGGACACGGGCATGGGGTGGTCCCTGCAGCTACACTGGAACAGCTTCCCCAACCACACCCCTTTAATAGGTTCAGTGCAGTCAGCACTATGTTTAACCATTTAACCAACCGGATTTTACATCCTTACTGGTGACTAAAGCCTTTTGTGCAGACAAGTCCCAAATACTTAAACATATGTTTAACTTAATTCATGTGAATATTTCCAGTCAAGTGAAATGGGCTATTTGTGCTTAAAATGTTAGCAAGACTGAGAAGGCAAGAACAGAAAGAGATGGTGCCAAACAAGGATTTTACATCTACAAAGCACAGACAATGGATTTAAAAATAAAGTATGTGTATTAGAAAATAAGATACTATTGGTCACTAAAGCATTATGTGAATTAGGGATGTGAACAACTAGTCGAGTAGTCGACTATCTGGTAAGCAAATAATCACCACATTAATCGACTAGTTGTTCCCCCCTCCCCCCTCCTTGCTGTCTCTATCAGAAAGGGGGGGGGGGGGGTGCTTCAAAGTACCGTGGCCTAGGGGATAGGGCGCTCGCCTGGGAAGCACGGGGTCGTGGTTTCTAGTCCCAGGTCGGGGGGGCCAAAACCAGTCGTCCCCGGGGCTGGAGGGATAAAGGGTTATGGAGCCCAGGGCCAGATCCGGGCTCCACGTGGCACTGCCACTTTGAAACACTGCATGTGGCCCAGGGCCAGCTGGGGAGTCCCCAGGCTGCACACAGCATTTCCAAGTGGCAGCGCCGCATGGAGCCCAGGGTCAGCAGGGGAATTCCCCTGCTAATCCTGGGCTCCAGGTGATGCCGCCACTTTGAAACACTGTGGGGAGCACAGGTCCAGTGAGGGACTGCCTGACTGGGCCTGCAATCCCGGCAGCGCTTTCGCCTCTCAACCGTAACAGCCCTGGGACAGTTTCTACATGTCAAAGGTAGAGGTGCCCTTATTGACTAATCGACTATTCGATTAGTCAATTATGCAAAATTTAACATCCCTAATGTGAACCTTTCTAAAAAATAAATGCAATGATAAAACTATAGAAGAAGTTTTATAACTCCAAATAGAGTTCAACTCTGATTTGGAAGGTCACAAGACTTAAAATCACTGCTTTGTAGTTTGTATTTGCATATGCCACATCCGCCCACAGCACCACATTCCACAGAGACATTTTGCTGCCCAAAAGTACTATTCCACTAATAAATACGATTTGATTCTTTTGTGGCATCACTAAGTAACAGCCAGAATTCTAACACTCAAGGATGAAAATTCTCACTTGGCCAAATTGTTGCTTACGTTTGTTGCTTTTTGTGTGAATTCAAAGTCTGCACATCTAGCCATGTTTGCAAAAGTAAGTGTTACTTGACTGATGTTGACGTTTAGGGTGCTTTATGATTCATTCATCTGCAAGTCTGTGTAAAACATACACAAGAAGCTGAACAGCTTGCCTAATGTTAGTCAGTGACAAAGTTAGGAGAAGCCAGATCTCCTGACTCCTAGTCCTGTGCTTAGACCACCCTTCCCTATAGCCATCAAACATGTTTTCTCTCATTTGTAGCCCACATCATGAGAAAGAGTAAGCTACTGTCTTTACACTATCTCTGAAATTATGAAGAGTCTGAGATGTGACATTCCTATGTGCTTAAGAGCATACCAGCCATCAGATCACTTTACTTAATAGACTTGCATATTATTTTCTAGATAACGTTTGACAGAGAACTTACCAGGACTCTCCACCCGTTTGTAGTGGTAGGGATTGATGCAAACCTCCTTCTGTTTTGAACCAAAGGGAAACTCACAGCATTCCAGTGGTTTCAGTTCATGATGGCTCTGGAGGTCTGGCCAGCGCCACACTCTACAGTAAATTACATGTGGTAGCCCTTTCCGGTGTGAAACCTGAAGCCTGCCATCCAAGGAACGAGGAATTGTCACACAGTTGCTGGGTTGACCTGGACAGCTCAAAGCTTTTTCCAGTTCCTCCATAGCACCTTTTTTCTTCTTTAGTTTTTTAACTAACGCATCAACAGCTTTCTCTGCCCATTTTTCTTCTTCATCCCCCTGCTTCCATCCCAACAGCCTCTTAACCGCTGGGCTTGTGAAGGAGAATAAACTTGTCACATTCATGGTGACCAACTCAGGCACACTGGATACTGAAGAAACAGGAAAGATTGTCGCCTGAAAAATGGACACAGCAGATCCTGTTTGTAAATGGCCACCACTGGTTTGCCACAATTTATACTGTTCCCTTTGGCTTTCTGATTCTGAAGTCTTGTGAAACTGAAACTAACATTCCAGCTTGACAGAAGTGATCTTTGCCTCCCAAACTGAAGTCCAGAATCTAAAGGAGGATACCAGGAGTGGGGTAAGGAGAGGGAGAAAAGAAAAAAAATTGTTTTTAATAAGCGAAAACAATTAAATCTCTAGATGGGAAAGTAGAACGATAAACACACTAACAAAAAACCCCATATATCCAAGTGCTGACAGCGTTCAGAATCTGACTAAATAGGCAACGTCCAATATATTACAGAACGCACAGCAATTTGTGCACGTGACACTGGAAGAGGGGTTCTCAAATACTTCCACATGAACCACATCTTGACAAAGTTTTGTAGGCCACTTCTCTTACCATTTACAATTGCACACATATCTTTGTAAAATAAACCTAAATAAATTTACATTTGAATTTGTGACAAACCAGTTTTAAGGCCTAAATTCTCTATAAATTATCAGTTGCATTTAATGTAATACTACACTGTAGAAATCAGCAGCTAGTGCCCTGAAAGTTAAGAAAAAAAAAAATCAAGAGAAATTTGGAAAACAGTAAAGTTTTCCTTCTTCTTACAGTCAAAGACAAACCCAACAACATGGTATAAGCTAATTAGATCTACAGTAGTTTTTTTAAAAAAAACTTGAAGCACATAGGAACCAGAAACAATTATTTCAATTTATTAAAAATCAGTAAGTCAGTTTTGATTAGCTTCCCCTCCCCTTTGTGTATCTAGTAGGGACATCAAGGTGTAGTCCACTACACGATTAACCAATGAGCCTGAGCCTGGGCTTACCAGTTAATTTTGTCAACTACACGCATTCCCCAACCCTTGCTGCCTTGATATCAGAAGCAGCAAGGCAGGGAGGAGAGGGCGGGGCAGAAAGCAGGAGCTGTTGTCCATGAGGAGCTGGTTTTAAGCAGGCTCCCCACCAGCACTGGGTCTGCA